GATGAGGCAAACGGAGAGAGAGATTTAGGAGTTCCTATCGACGAGTACCTCAAGTTTTCTTCGCGCGCGCAAGCGATGATGGCCAAATGCAACAGGATTCTAGGTTACATTCGTCGTTCGTTTGCAAGTAGGACTTCGCAAGATTTGTGCCTTCCACGCCCAACAACTACACCTCCGCTGATACGTTTCCTCAATCAAAAATAAAATGCAAGTAGCATTCGTGTTTTTCCTCCTGTGATAAAACGGCTGGAGAAAAACAAACAAACGTTTTTTTTTATTTCAAAGATACGTTGAAGTGGCAAAAAAAGGGACAGCTCAAAGAACTCAAATTAATCTAAAACAGCTGCATGTTTTTTTTGTCTCACCCGGTATATGCAACCCTGGACTTGTACTCTTGCTTCATTTGCTGTCTAGGTGAGGTAAACAGGTCCAGGGAGAACATTCCTCATTCCCATTCTTTGCCTGGAATGACAGTTAGGTTGATATTCCCATAGCACTTGTGATCTATTGGTTCATAGGTATTATTTCATATCACAAAATGTCGTGTACCGATTATTTTGGCTTGAGTGCTTTTTCTTCGCGATTGAAATGTCAAATATATATTTACTAGCGGCTTTCTACCGTACAAAGTTGATGAGCAGTGAGAAAAAAAGTAAAAACAATCTAAACCAGGTTCCCGCTGCCCAAACCCGATCTACAGTTCACGATGCAACGTATTTACATCAAAGAGAGGCTGAGGTACAGCGTGCTACATCTGCTAATATGGACAATTTGTATACCAGGCGCTTCACTCTGAATGTTCCTAGGTAAAGCGGATCGCAAATTCAAATTTGAGATATTTCCTGGGAGATTGTTATGGGACGTTATTACGAGGGGAATGGGAACGAATTTTCATTTCCTAACCCATTAGAACCCAACGGGCTGTGGGATTCCCCTAAAGTTCCACCCGCAATACAGTGAACAGTGAAAAATTGTCCACTAATTTTGAAAGATGTTGCTCCAATTTTAAACCCGTTATTACCCATTCCTTGTGCGAGAGCAACACATATTCGGAAGTCGAAATATGTTAGCGATTTCACAGGTGCTTACTTTTTTTTGCTCGATCCGGCTGAAAAATGTGCCTGCGTGCCGAATATCGTCATTTGTGCCGAAATCTCCTAGATGAATTTCAATCGCCGATCGTCCGTTTTGTGTCTGTCCATATGACGAAATATAGGGAGGAATGCTGAAATTCGGTTATGAGGCGAGGAGAATATCGGCCTATTGGCAAAGCCTGCCGAGCATCATTCCCTGCCTGCCGGAAATTCTTCTTGAACGCCAATATCCAAATTTGTTGCATTATTGAGAAACAAAAAAAGTATCATAAATGAAATACAGACCTTATTAAGGGGAATTACATAAAGTCCTTGATTTCGGAATACGTCGCTTGACAACAATTCAATCATCCGAATGTAAGATTTCTGAATATGTGCAGTGAGTTCCTGTCGTTTCACTGATCTTTCATTATTGTGGTGATAATTCAAATGAAAAGCACGCCTGAGCGGCTTTTCCCATCGAATGACGGTAAACAACTTCCAGTTCGAATTTTTTTGTCGCCGCTCTTCAATTTTAACTTCCGTAAACGAAATACGGGGAGGAATGCCGAAATTCAGATAAAGGTTGCCGAAAATGATGATTCAATTTGAAAAGTTGGCAGAGCATCTTCTCCTGCACACCGAAAATTCCTCTAAAACACGAAATTTTCAATGTGCTGTGCTTCACTTTCCAATTTGAAAAACCGGGAAATTCACAGAAAATGAATTGCAAACCATCTAAAAGCAAGTTGCAAAAGGAATTACTCATTATTTATCCGGTAACCATCGATAATTATTTATTTTCTAGCTAAAGCTAATTGCGGCCCCACAGTTAAGCAAAAAAGGTGTAGAATTTCAATCACCTCATATTATCAATACCTCTCTCTGGATGCTTTCCCTCCCACGAGACTATAGCTCGGAGAGGTAGCCAATGTCAAATAAGATCTTCCATCAATGCCTTTCATCAAAGAATAGCAGGAAAAGATATCCTGACTCTTGAAACGAGAATACGTAATTGTGACATTGAATCTTACTTATGTTGAAATTGAAAATTACCTGAAAGTAAGAATACCCGCTTGCATTTCATTACCTTTGTTACCGTTGTAACAAGTTCCATAATAAAAAATATTAGCAGTTATGAATAGCAGCTGATCGTAGAGATACTGTGGTGTATGAATCAGGAAGTTTAAAAGGAAGATGCCTCTTTATGCCTGCACACTTGTCAATTTCGAGAAAGAGGCTTTAAGCGGCTCGGGGTTCGAATAAGGTCTTCTGGTATCTACTCGCAATAATGAGGATGGATTCTACTCACCCACCAGAGATATCTCTTACTGAAGCGTGGACGTTCATGGCAAACTAATGTTCTAGAACCCAGCCAAATCTAAAAGCACTTGTTGAGTGCGTGCGACGTTTTGAATATGGATCTAAGTAGTCATTCAGGATTGAAGAATACCTTTGTTGGAGCCCTAGTCCCGTTCATCCACTATGATTTGCGATAGCAGACAACATCGACGGTATTTTAATATGTGCGAGTAAATGCATTTTTTCATGGTGGATATAAAACAAATGTTGAAGTACTAATCACAACGCATTCTTTTTTTTTTACATAGATATATGAAAGTACTTGGAGACCAACATGTGACAAAAATCACATATGATTCACTTATCACTTATTGGGTTGGAAAGAAAGTCTTGGAACACCGCAAATTTTTCCAAATGTTATAACTTTATTGAAATGCAATTTCAGTCTACAATGTAATGACCATTGTTGTCTATGACATGTTCCAACGCACGGGTAACTGCTCGATGCCCTTTGCACAGAACTCTGGCGATTACGAAGCGAAGAAACGGCCGACATCATTTTCGAGCTTAGATCGTCGAAGGCCTTGTCCCGCAGGTGATTCTCGACGGCCCGGAACAAGTGATAGTCGGAAGGGGCCAAGTCCGGAGAATACGCTGGATGGGGTAAAACTTCCCAGCCCAGTTCCGAAATTGTCTGGCGAGTCATCTTCGCAACATGTGGACGAGCGTTGTCATGCAGGAGAACTTTGTCGCGTTTGGGACGCTCTTTTTGAATGACACCAGCCAACTTCTGAAGTTGAGCAGCGCAGACGACGGCAGTCACGGTCGTACTGGTTGGCAGGAGCTCATAGTAAAACATTCCTTCTGAATCCCACCAACAGCAGAGAAGAATCTTCTTCTCGTGGAACCCTGGTTTCCGTTCGTGTGGCGGCAATTCTCCTCGTGGAAGCCACTGACTCTTGCGAGTATGGTTGACGTAGAGGACCAAGCTCTCATCTCCAGTAACGATTTCCTTCAGAAGGTCCTTTCTGTGCGGACGAAGGAGCAGTGATTCGCAGACACTGACACGGCTTGCTTTGTCAGAGTCGCTGAGCGGGATGAGGGACCCATGTCAAAGAGTTAATCGCGATCAGAAGTTTCTTACCGAAAGATAAATGTCCAGTTACTTCCCATTGGTTGACCCAAAAAAACCATAAAACTTGACCCCTGTTCAGTATATAATTATTGTTAGGGACCTCGAACGAGGGCCCAAGAGCCACTTTTCGAGACTCCAGGGTCACTAGTGTGGACAGTAAAAAGCTTCCAAAGTCACAATTTCGAATATTCTCTTCAGAGGTTTCTTTTCATTATCTGGCATCATTCAACACCAAACATTGACATTTGTCTCCCTCTTTTCCTTAAGGTAGGAAGGAACTCAAAAATTGTGTGTCGGGGATTTGAAATTCAGCTTCTAATTACTTTAGGGGGTCTCAAGAGGAGTGGATGGAGGAGTCTTGCAGTGACCTACGACCTACAGTTTTGCTGAAGTTAATGTCTGAAGTTACCGCTAGATGGCCTTTCCCTGGGTTGCAAGAAAATAAGCATAACTTTGAAACCCTTTATTGTTGAGATGTGCAATTAACATTTACATACAGCTAATACATTGCTCTTTCAAATGAATGCAGGTGATGCGTCCTTGAACGAAAGGTCAAAGATCAACTAGCGATTCACTAGGAGAGGTCCAAATCGTAAATATGTTTACTCGGCTGCCATTCCGGCCACGGATTCATTTCCCAAAAATCTAACTACTAATGTTTAATCATACTTTAGGATAACCTCCTGCAAAATGGTACGATTTTCCTTCAGAGCATTTTCAAGATTTTGATCAAAATGTAAAGAAAATATCAACAAGAAAACGCGACTTCGGAGGATCTCATGGAATAACTCACCTCCCAAGTAACTTAGCAAAAAATAGTCCGTAATTCTGATAGAGTAGAGTTTGTCATTTCTGTGGACACCTTCATCGCTAGAATCTGCGCAGATTCTGCTATGCAATATCCTCTCAAAGGAGAGCGGTTTGCAGGCTTTTCTTTCCAATGTCCTCACTCCCCTTTGTCGGGGTCACTACACATGTGCTTAGCATCTGCGTGCCCCTGCTCTAAAAGAGAGGGAAGAAGTCAACAGGAATGGAGAGAAAGGTTAAGGGATCTGTAGAGAAGACTGTGAAATTAGATCAGGCCTGTACCTCAATACCTGTACCTGTACCTATGCCTCTTGAGTCCCTCTACAATAATTATGAGCTGAATTTCAAATCCCTGACAATCGATTTTTGAGTTCCTCCCTGAAGTAAATAATTATTTAAGGTTGTACTTCAGAAAAAGAACCATTTTTATTGCTATCTTTAACATAACGACATGTTTCATTAACATTTTCAAATATCAGTATTCTTCAGGAAAGCATATAAAAGATACATGTCACTGATAAGAATCACCAATAATATTTAGGCATGATTAGAGAGACGAACAAGCAGTCGAAAACTTCGATGAGCAATCAACCAGGCCAAGAGGTAGCTGCAATTCCGTCGACAATCCATTCGCGGTTATATAAACTGTACTATGTACTGTCCTTCGAATGGGCTTGTCAATGTCACCTCTGAAGGAAGACTGGAAGAGCTTTATTGTGGGTATTCCTCCTCGAAAGGAGGCTGGAATCCTTCCGCCGTTCTTCCTCCGCCTCCAGGTTGATTCGACGGTCTATTGGATGGTCTATTGCTTGGTCTATTGGATGGGCGTTCTTGTGGCTGTTCCTCTTTGAACGGTGGCTGGAATTCTTCCTCCGGTCCTCCTCCGCCTCCAGGTTGATTCGACGGTCTATTGGATGGTCTATTGCTTGGTCTATTAGATGGGCGTTCTTGTGGCTGTTCCTCTTCGAACGGTGGCTGGAGTTCTTCCTCCGGTCTTCCTCCGCCTCCAGGTTGATTCGACGGTCTATTGGATGGAGTCTATTGGAAGGGCGTTCTTGTGGCTGTTCCTCTTCGAACGGTGGCTGGAATTCTTCCTCCGGTCTTCCTGCGCCTCCAGGTTGATTCGACGGTCTATTGGATGGTCTATTGCTTGGTCTATTGGAAGGGCGTTCTTGTGGCTGTTCCTCTTCGAACGGTGGCTGGAGTTCTTCCTCCGGTCTTCCTCCGCCTCCAGGTTGATTCGACGGTCTATTGGATGGTCTATTGCTTGGTCTATTGGAAGGGCGTTCTTGTGGCTGTTCCTCTTCGAACGGTGGCTGGAATTCTTCCTCCGGTCTTCCTGCGCCTCCAGGTTGATTCGACGGTCTATTGGATGGTCTATTGCTTGGTCTATTGGAAGGGCGTTCTTGTGGCTGTTCCTCTTCGAACGGTGGCTGGAATTCTTCCTCCGGTCTTCCTGCGCCTCCAGGTTGATTCGACGGTCTATTGGATGGTCTATTGCTTGGTCTATTGGAAGGGCGTTCTTGTGGCTGTTCCTCTTCGAACGGTGGCTGGAATTCTTCCTCCGGTCTTCCTGCGCCTCCAGGTTGATTCGACGGTCTATTGGATGGTCTATTGCTTGGTCTATTGGAAGGGCGTTCTTGTGGCTGTTCCTCTTCGAACGGTGGCTGGAATTCTTCCTCCGGTCTTCCTGCGCCTCCAGGTTGATTCGACGGTCTATTGGATGGTCTATTGCTTGGTCTATTGGAAGGGCGTTCTTGTGGCTGTTCCTCTTCGAACGGTGGCTGGAATTCTTCCTCCGGTCTTCCTGCGCCTCCAGGTTGATTCGACGGTCTATTGGATGGTCTATTGCTTGGTCTATTGGAAGGGCGTTCTTGTGGCTGTTCCTCTTCGAACGGTGGCTGGAATTCTTCCTCCGGTCTTCCTGCGCCTCCAGGTTGATTCGACGGTCTATTGGATGGTCTATTGCTTGGTCTATTGGAAGGGCGTTCTTGTGGCTGTTCCTCTTCGAACGGTGGCTGGAATTCTTCCTCCGGTCTTCCTGCGCCTCCAGGTTGATTCGACGGTCTATTGGATGGTCTATTGCTTGGTCTATTGGAAGGGCGTTCTTGTGGCTGTTCCTCTTCGAACGGTGGCTGGAATTCTTCCTCCGGTCTTCCTGCGCCTCCAGGTTGATTCGACGGTCTATTGGATGGTCTATTGCTTGGTCTATTGGAAGGGCGTTCTTGTGGCTGTTCCTCTTCGAACGGTGGCTGGAATTCTTCCTCCGGTCTTCCTGCGCCTCCAGGTTGATTCGACGGTCTATTGGATGGTCTATTGCTTGGTCTATTGGAAGGGCGTTCTTGTGGCTGTTCCTCTTCGAACGGTGGCTGGAATTCTTCCTCCGGTCTTCCTCCGCCTCCAGGTTGATTCGACGGTCTATTGGATGGTCTATTGCTTGGTCTATTGGATGGGCGTTCTTGTGGCTGTTCCTCTTCGAATGGTGGCTGGAATTCTTCCTCCGGTCTTCCTCCGCCTCCAGTTTGATTCGACGGTCTATTGGATGGTCTATTGCTTGGTCTATTGGAAGGGCGTTCTTGCATCGGAGGCGTTTCTTTCCCACCTAAAGGTGGGATTTGAAAGGGTAACTCATCCCTATGGTGAGGTCTATCTCGATGTCGGTCACTTCCTGGGCCTTTATGATGATGATGATGTCCTCCCGGTCCTCTTTCTTCTTCGAAATCGACTTCCCCCAGCTGTTTCATAAGCTCCCCGTCGGACATGCCTCCATTTCCTCTCTCGCATTGTTCAATCTCGTCCTCTCTCCTCTGTCTTCGTAGTTCTTTTCTGACTTTGTCTCCGAACTTCTTTAGCTCCTCTCTGAGAATATACCATTCACATGGAAAAATTTCACCTCAAACACTGAAGTTCTATCTTCCTATGCAATTTCAAGAATGTAGGGGAAAGTTTTGAAAAATAAAGGATTTTCATTTTTTGTGCTTGAAAATTTCCCTCATTGAATTTTGACTGTTTTTTTTTTGGATATACTGTATAATTTACTCTCATACGAGAATGGTAACTTGATTATGGTAAAAAATATATCAGTTGTGAAATTAGTTTGAGCAAAGTATGAAATTAATTTCATATTTACGTTTCCTTGAGAAACATCACTGATAATTTTTATAAACACATACTTGTATCTCATGCTGATATTGATGGGGCAGGGATGCATGCACCAGCACTAAATGGCCTTGAGATACCCTTCTTGCTATATGCAGATGATTTAGTACTAATGTCGTTGTCAGTCGTAGGGTTGCAGAAGCGCCTGAATGGACTAGTCAAATATTGTGACAGATGGAAGCTATCAGTCAACGTTGACAAGTAAAAAATAATGGTTTTCAAGAAGGGGACAAAGTTGTGTAAGCATGACAAATGGCACATTTCAGAAAATAATCTAGAGGTGGTGAGGATTTATAAATACTTAGGAGTGACCTTCAATTACAATGGGAAATGGAATCATCAGGAAAAGAGGAGCATAGAAACTGGAAAGAGGGTTTTGTATGCAACATCAAAATTGGTTTGCTCTAGCCCTGGATTACCTCTAAAGGTCTCGATGAGTTATTCGATTCTATGGTAACGCCAGCTGTACTCTATGGAGCAGAAGTCTGGGGCTATGGTTAGTCCGGAGACATCTCCCTAATTCAAAACTGTTTCATGAAATGTATATTAGGCATTCCACAAAGCGCTGCTAACTATGCATGTCATCTGGAGGTAGGCAGGGTGATGTTACTTCCCTATGTAATGGCTAGAACGGTGGGTTTCTGGCTGAAAATCCGAGAAACCCCAGACTCTATACCAACTAAATGGGCCTGGATGGAATAAATTAAAATGCCAGGGAGTACCCAGGGTTGGGGTTCCTTTGTAAAACAAACTTTGAACAAAACGGGATTTTCCTTCGTCTGGAAATATGGATTCCCACTCGGGGAACTTCCTCTGCCAATTAAAGTAGCGAATATGGGATATTGTGAATTGCGAGATGCTCAGTAAAGTTAGTGAAATGAGGTCGCTGCAATTCTACAAGAAGGTGAAAGTAGTCCCGGGCAGGGAGCTCTACATTAAAATTGAAAATAAGAGTGCAAGAAGTATATTCGCAAGCATTAGACTAGGACACTGGAAATATGTAAAATAAAGCATCAAAATGGTAAAACCTTTTAATTGTCCCTTTTGTCTAACCGCAGAAGAGGATGTTTTGCATTTCATTAATAGATGTCCATACTATGATAACTGTTGCAGAGAATATTGGCCTAAGTTCTTGCTGCATTTAGATGATGAAAGGATATCTTTTATGACATATTCTATGTCAGCTGAGACTATGCACTTCTTTGCTCATGGAATATCTAGGATGTTGGCTTATCGGGAAAGGAGAGTACAAGAGATGCTGAATTCGGCAGATGAAATAAAATGAATTGCAGGGGATGTGAACAATATGTGTGATGAACACTTATTGCAAATAAATTTATTCATTCATTCATTATGAACACAATAAAAAGGGAGCAAAAGTGTCTGACTGGCAACTCTTGCGCCTTAATTAACTCGAACTTAGATGAACAATCCCCACATATGAGCCAATCGGAATAAAGATTTCTTCAAGTATTTAAGCCTCCACATAATGATAAGGGTGTCAGTGAGAGGCACGAATGTCCTGGGTTCGGTGGTGCAATGGAATCACACCTGCCCGGCAATCAGGAAGCCTGGGTTCAATTCCTGGCCTTCCCCTGGCTTTCTTTCGTCCTCTTCTCCATCCAATCTTCCCTCCCGGACGTTCTCATGACATTCATACGTTTAAAAAGAACAAGCTAACTCCATAGTGGTACTGCAAGTGGTTCCTAAGAACATAGTTTTACCCATCCCCTGCAGATGGCGCTTTTCTACGCTGACAAAGCTAATTAAAAATTATTACTCTTTAGGAACTAATATAATTAGACAATGATAGTGTGAAACTGTGGGAGAATGTCTTACGTCTTTTATATTTCCAATTTCGTTCAATGTCAGGATGAGACTACTTTTTGGGCCACGGAGGAGTAATGATAGCAATTTCCGATTCCACAACGGGAGAAACTCAAGGATTCGCTGACTCAAGATTTCCCTTTGGATGTATCTGAGAAGCGATTCTCACCGAACTTTGATGAAAGCAGTATTGATATAACTTGGTGTGTCAGTACTTTCGAATTCTCCTAATTGTAAAACTCAGAGGATGATTATTTGCATGAGTCTGTTTTCTGTGTTTGCACAACTGGTGCTCATAATCTATGAAGACGATCTGAAGTGTCAGAGTGGGGGACACTCTTAAATCTGATGACATCCTCTCTTTAAGGACTTGATGTGATTCTTACTCATCAACGATAGCTGAGGACGTTCACTACTCATAAGAAAGTTTTTGAATCAACAGTCGCTAAAGGATGAGGCTCCTTTTGATCTAACGTTTTGGCCTTTACCTGACACGAAGGCATGACACGAAGGCGATTAGAAAATGAAGTGCACTTGACTAACTCAGTTTTCTTGGAGAACCTTCTGAGAGCTTCTCTGTCGCTGGTCAGTCTGAGAATGCCGCAAATGGCCTCGTCTGCCAGACCCAAGGGAGCTAAGACGTCGGCGATGAGGTCAGCGATCTTCCCGCCCTTCCCGCCCTTTCCGCCTTTCTTCGCTTCCCGCCGTATCCGCTTTCCCAAGGCTGGAGAAAAACTGTAGGGAAAAGGGGGAAAAGAGAAAATGACAGTAGAACTCGGTTATAACGTCATCGAAGAGACCAGGGAAAAATCGTCGTCATAATCGAGGTTCGTTACAACCGAGGTTCGTTACAACCGAGGTTCGTTACAACCGAGGTTCGTTACAACCGAGGTTCTTTATAACCGAGTTTGCCTGTATTGACATTCCCTTTTCCTGTTTTCAAAATAGATGCTATATAACGTTACTACTCTAGTGCACATCGGTAATGCCACACTAGCTTCAGTTTCAGGATTGACTCACTAATCGTAATGTTCGCACTTCTTTGGATCTTGAACTACTTTATACTTTAGCAAGGCCTCGTCGGCGTCATCTCGACAGACCTTGGAGATTTCTTGTTTTGTGACATGTTCTCGTAAGCACGGATGAAGCTGTCACGATTTTCCCAAATTGTGGAAACACATGAACAGATGTCCATGTTTTTCGAAGGGGACTTCTACGTTACTTGGAGCACTTTCTAATAAATTAAGCATGCACACTTTCCAATAAATTAAGCATGCACACTTTCCTTTCAATCGTGAAGGCTTGCCTCTTTCGCTTTCCACTGGCCATGTTGTCAACGAGAAATGTAATGGCGACTGAAGATAAGATGATCTTGTTAGTTACTGGGGATAATCCCTCCCTCACCGTCCTGTCACACGCTTTGACTCTCAAGGAACGCCGATTCCAGAAAGGATAACGTTATGGCTCGCCAACGTTCGTTTTTCCTATAGTGGGAATTCCAGTTAAGAATGACGGATTAGGGACATTGACGTTGTCAATTTCTCACTGGGACCTTCAATGAACTTCGTTATAACCGAGGTTCTCGTTATACCCGAGGTCGTTATAACCGAGTTCGACTGTATATAGAACTATGTTAAAGTAGGGCAGTTCAAGGTAAGTGTCGCATCCTTGAATTTGGTTAATTTCCTATGTAGGTCTCAATAGCAATAGTAACCTGACCTATGCCTTTTTCTTTTACTGTTGTCTTTCCATTACCTTGGGAAGCTCTTGCGCTAGAGATATACAATTATTGATCAGCTATTTTTAAGACCAACGGCTGATCTCCCATTCCATAAAAGGAGGACCAATTCATCCCAGGTCTGAATAATTTATTTTCAGAGTAAATGCAACCAATACGACCCGGACAATTGGGGTTGGGGTTTAAATTAATTTGGAGAATCTTGTTCCAAAAACCCCGAGGCAGCTTCCAGTCTTCTGACTTTTTTAGTTTTGAACCCAAGTCGAATCTTGTAACTGCCGTGACTTTTTATCATTAACCAGGAAATGGAAGCCGTGTGCATTCTTCATATGGAGTCCATTCACCCTCCGAAGTTTGGAACTCGATTTGAGGGCATCTAATGTATTGTATATTAGTCAACCGAAAACAGCAATACTCTTGTCAGAAATAGTACAAAGGACGCATTTTCACGGAATCGTACGTAATTCTTAGGCATATCGGAGTAGTTTCGAAAATGTTTTCGCCAGCAAACAATACGATATTCTTCCTGGCGACAGCGATTGGATTTACTCACGTTCGTATCGCATTTTTGTCCTCATCCACATATATACGAGGGTCACCCCAAAAGTAATGCTCCCGATTTTTTTCTGAGTAATGCTTAATTGCAAATGAAATTGGCGGTTCGCCAGCATTGACTCCATTGTTTTCCACCGCTGCTGGGGAAGTTTCGTGGTTTCACCCCCAGGAGGATATAAGTCCACACATAGTTCAAAATGGCCGATGTTTCAGAGTCACGTTTTAAGCAGAGAGCTGTGATTGAATTTTTTACTGCGAAAGGGGAAGTGCCGATAGTGATCCATAGACGTCTCACAAATGTGTATGGAGAATATAATGTCAGTGTGCATAGAGTAAGAAGGTAGGTTACGAAGTTCAAAAGTAGTGATACGTCTCTGGCTGACAGGCCACGAAGCGGGCGGCCAGCAACGGCAGTGAATGATTCCAACCAGCAGAGAGTTGATATAATTGATGCGGGGTAATCGGCGGATCACACCCGCGGAATTGAGCCATATTGTCGGCATTGATCACCATGCTGTCGAATCCATCATCAATAACCTTGGATACAGCAAGGTTTGTGCTAGGTGGGTACCTCGCATGCTTACGGACGTACACAAGGCAGAGAGGAAAATAATCTCCTCGGAACTTCTTCAGCGGTAGGAACAGCTGGGAGACAACTTTTTGTCACGAATAATAACCGGTGACGAGTCCTAGGTTCACTATTATGAACCTGAGACAAAACGGCAGTCTATGGAGTGGAGACATGACACATCCCCACCACCGAAAAAATTCAAGACCCAGGCATCGGCGGGGAAAGTTATGGTCACTGTTTTTTGGAACATTTCTGGAGTGGTGTTGGTCGACTTTCTGGCTAAAGGGTCAACGATCAACTCTGAACAATACATCAGCACTCTGAAGAAGCTAAAGACACGTATACGCTAAGCATGACCACATTGAACATGCAGGAGGTGTTACTGCAAGAAGACAATGCCAAGCCTCAAACAAGTCGTCTAACATCGGAGCCATTGGAAAGATGGGATGGGGTGTCCTTTCTCATCCTGCATACAGTCCTGACCCCCCCTGACTTTCATTTGTTCGGCCCTCTGAAGGATGCTCTATGGGGGCACCATTTTCAATCAGATGATGATGTGAAGACGGCAGGTCGTCGCTGGCTGCATCAACAAGATGAAGCATTCTTTCGCGACGGTATAATGGTACTGCTTCCACGCTGGCGCAAATGTGTGGAGCGTAATGGGGACTATGTGGAAAAATAAGTCGACAGAAATTTTCACACGTTATTGCTAACTATTTTATTACTGTGTATTTGTCAGAAAGAAATCGGGAGCATTACTTTTGGGGTGACCCTCGTATTATACTTGGGCGTCTGTATGTCCCATAGAGAGTGAATAAATGGAGGGGCCTCCCCTATGGCGCGAGGGGCTGCACCCACTGAGCTAAGAAATAGAACTGGAGATGGCGCACAATACAATGGATTTGGGGCAATTGGAAGCCATCTTACTTAGGTCCGTGGTGGCTCTTCTCCCTACAATGAGATTTTCATAATTTCCCATCCCAGTTTTCTTGCTGTCGTGATCATGATGGCAGGCAGTCATGGTACTGGAGGCGTAATAATTCTGGGGGAGTATCATAGGGCTGATAACGTCATGTCGGAACTCTTCTTTATTGTGGGCGAGTCTCCTATTTCTCGAGTGGGCCTCCAAGTTCCAGGCCTGCCTTTGTTGAGATTGCTGGGCCTACTAAGGCGATAAGGTTACGCCGCCCTTGCATGATCACAGTCGACATATTTTACAGCAAGTCTAAGGCATAAAGTCAAACGAACTTCGATTGAACATTCAAAGGTAAATATAGGCTAAAGGAAACGAAGGGCGACTACGAGGTACATGGTAGAGGTGTTGGTGGGTATTGGCAGGGCATGCTCCCCTATTCAGAAGGGCTGCTCCAGTGTTCCCGCGGTACCTGCTCAATTACTCGGCCAATGCTCACCGCAGGCCCGCTTTAGTCTAAACCCAACCAATATGGCTTCAAAATGCACCCGTTTTCCCTATGCTACTCCTATGGCCGCACCATCTCCAGTTCTATTTCTTAGCTCAGTGGCTGCACCCTTCTAGGCGCGGCCGTCATCTTGCTGAAGTCGCACGAGGAATGAGTTCATAGCAGACACATGGGGCGCGTCTTTTTTCCTAGCGGCTCTGCTAGCTCTGCTGAGGCCTCCAGCGTCCCATGACGTCATATTCAGGCTGTGCTGCTCAGCGCTCCCATAGATCGCTATGTTCCGCTGCCTGCTGCTTGCCCAAGAGTGACGTCATTCGATGACGTGGTCGTGCCTAACCAACGCGTCTTTTTCGCTAGCAGCTGCCAGCAGCTGCAAGCGGCTGGAGAAAAAGATGCGCCCATGGAGAGGGGGAGGGCAAGAGAGGCAACTAGCTCCAGGCTATATGCCTGGGGACCTCCACGCCGGGACCCAACCAATCACGCTATTCATTCCCACATGCGAGATCGTCCCAAGTTGGCGGAAGCACTCGTAACTCTTGAGGCAGCAAAGGCCTCTCCAGATACACTCTACACTCTATGCCATGGTATGTGAGCAGTGACGCATGCGCGGCGCCTTCTCCCCTGATCCTGGATCTCGGTATCTCGAGCTCGCACTTTCCCTCCGGCCATTGCGGCTGTCAGATCTATTCTCGTGAACGTAATAGCCCGGGGGGGAGGGGGGCGGATTTCAGATGGCATGACGAAAGAAAAACAATATTGCGGCCTGGAATCAATCTCAGGGCCTCCTACTTGGCGGACAAGTACTTTTCCACTATACCACCAAACCAAATACAATAATTTTTTTCCTTTCCATGTTATCCATAACATTACAAAGGGAGAGATGCATTCTACGAACACCCACGCTCTCGATACAGACCCGAGGATCCGATACGGACTTCTCAGCAAGGACGTATTGAACGTCCCCGCGTATTACACTTGTAGTCCTATTTCATCCCCTAAGGAAGGATGACTTCCTCGCCTGGATGAGATCTCATCATCATCAGATCTTAGATTTATCGGGAACTGGACCCCTTCAGCAAACAGTACCCCGTCCTTTTATTGATCGGCATTCTCACAAGGAGAGTGACTACCGAGGGTAAAAACGGCGGGATCCCACCCGTATGGAACAGGAACCCTTGGATCAGAAAGACGACGTCGGCCGCGTAGTAAGCATCCCGTTTCTCACGCGTATATTTCACTCATAGGCCGACAGGAAAAGTGGTGGAGATGGACTTCACCGACGATACGCACATGGTCAAAATTGATAAGGGATAAGAGTGCCGCTCGATAAAAGTCCGTATCGTAAGCGTGAACACCTCCGCGAATAAGAGGGAGGGGGATGCGCAAGATGTACAATGTCAGCGACTGCTACGCAGAGCGTTAATGGAGCCGCTGACTGAACTCGTGAATATCGGAATATACGACACGCTTAGCCTCTCACTCTCGAGAACGGGATGGAGGTGGTGCTGCTTTATATCGTTGAGAGGGTCGTTGAGTTTTAGGGCTGCTGACTGAGCTCGGGAATTCCCGAGAAACAGTTCGTGGAAGACATCCGCGGATTGAAGTGCCCATCTCGCGCTCGCACCTCCTCTCCGGCCTTCGCAACAGACAGATCCGTTCTTGAGAATAGGAGAGCGAGAGAGTCATTTTACGACTTGCGTCCCCCCCCCCCATAACTAAGCGATGTTCACACTTCGATATGAGCTTTCATGCAGGAAAACCCCCGCACAACACTTCCAGTCCCGTTTTCCTCCGTGCGAAGGAGAGTAATTCTGGAGGGTGAAAGCGGCGGGATCCCATCAGGATGGGACAGAACAGGATGGCTCATTCTTGGATCGCAAGGATGCCGCCGGTTGGGTTGCTACCATCCCGTATCCATATTCGTATATTTCAATCATACGCTTGCACGCAAAGTGATGGAGATGGTCTTTACGGACGAAGCGGACATAATTGCAATCAACAGGGAAAAGTGCCGATAAATGTAAGGGCGAAGATCTCACCCCGGCGAGGAAGTCATCTTCCCTTCAGCAGGATGAAAGGGGACTCCAAGAGTTGTACGTGGGGACACGTAAATAATGGGAAAGAAGGGCTGCTGCCTATTTAAAGGCTCCTGTCACAATATTCATATCTATAGTACGAGGTGAAAGAAAATGAATCCACGTCAATTCAACGCAAATGCTTTGAACAATGTAGAATCTGAATTTATTTGAATACTGAGAAGGAACCATTGAGAAACCTGCCTTTACGTTCTTAATATCTTTCCACGAGGAAATGATTATTGGGAATAAATAGGGATCCGATTCGTTAACGAATGAATAAACGAATTTCGTTAGTTAATTTCATATGAGAAAGATACACCAATAAAGACACCAATGGAATGAAAAGAAAACCACTCATCTTCATCAAAAGTATGGAGGTAGAGAGAGATAGAGTACCATTACTTAATTACAAAAGGAAGACTGAAAGCCTGTTTTTTTTTCGACTTACGTGTCAATAGAAACGGCCAGACAGGAGGAAATCGCGAGTACAAGGAAGACGGCTAGGTGCTTCATTTCTGCAAGAAAGGATATTCCCCGTCAGAAAAATTCGCTGTCAGTGCGAATAAGCAAGCCTGGTCTTGGAGGATGCCAGGGAAGCCACGCGGCTTCTCCTTGCTTCTCTCACAAATGATTAAAAGGAAAACTAACCGGCAGCGTACGTGCTCACACCACAATGCTCGACGTCCGAATGCCTATTGCCAGGGGCGTCAGTGCACTCGCGGACGGACATTCACGCGCTTAGCCTGTCTCGTATTCAAGGTCACCTTTCCCTTTCAATGCTCCGTGATTAGAGTTTAATGCAATCGTTGTCAAGGGCAAATCTCGGTCACGTCTACGCAATGTACGAGGAGAAACAAGTTTCTTGCATCTCATATTTAAAACACACAACATCTGTAGCATCTGACTTAACGGAGTCCCCTTCTATGTTGAAATATTTCTCCATTTTCTCTCTCCAACTCTCCATGCCTACTCTGTAAAAGCTTTTGTCCTTGAACTCGAGCCAGTCGAGGATGCTGGACATTGAGTTCCAGTGTTTCCCCTGCATACTCTGCTTCCGTTTTGGAAACCGGAAAGTGTCGAAAGGGTCCAGGTTTGGACTGTTGGGGGGATGAGATAGCAATTTCCAGTAAAACTTGCGAAGGGCAGGCGCTATGTCATGGTGAATCAGGGCACGCTGATATAACTTTCCCGGCCTCTTCTCTTGCAGAGCTGAACGAAGCTTTTGAAGCTTCTGCACATAATAGACACCTGTGTCTGTTTTACCTATATCGAAGAAGTCCACCATGGTCACCCCTTTCGGATCCCAGAAAACAGTCGCCATAAGCTTCGTAGCCGACTTCTCAACTTTGAATTTGATGGGTCCTCGTTGAAAAACTCGACACTGCAATTTGCCTTGTGATTCTTCTGATCTGGAAGCAACGCTTTTGGTACCCAACGGGCAGAAAGCTTGCTCTGGACCAGATTCTCCTTCAGTATGGAATGTATCGATCCAGTGGATATTCCTAGAGTCTTCGCCATCACCTCCACCTTGACTCGTCGGTCTTCTTCCACCATGGCTTGAACGGCATTGCTTTTTTCCCCAGTGACTGATGGAAAAACCGGCCGACCTGCCGGTTTTTTCCGGACCGGCCGAGCATTGCATGGGTCATCTTCAGGGCTCTCTCTCACTTCCTTGAAGCGGCGTATCCAGTCTTTCATTGTAACCCATGATGGAGCTGTCTCCATAAACGTTTTGCACAGCCTTAGGGATCTGCTTATTTTCCTTCCTAATCTTCGTCAGAAACGTCACATTGCCACGAATCTGGAATTTCAGACTTTCCATGTCGACGCTGAGTGACCTCATTTAAACAAGCCAGAACTCGAACAAAATCATGCGCAAAGTGATGATGAATTATATAGCCACTAACCAACTCTCAACCTGTCGAGACAAGTCCTAACCATCCCCTGAACATGTCTAGATATAGGCGAGGTAAGAAAATTTTCGGACGCCCCTCATATATCTTAAACTTTTCTTGCCTCTTAGGTGCCATTAGGTACACGGTTTCTGGAGTGATTTAGACTTTTCGGCTGGGAAATTGGGAAATTCATTCATGGCAAGCAAATATAAACTGCTAGAGATTTCAAATATAGTCTGATGATGTCTCTAGTTCATTGCAGGAAACTGGCAAACATTATCGGCTGAAAATGGTAAAAGTGCCTGAAATAGAACGATTTCAAGTTCGAGTTTAATATGCCGAATGTTATTGAGTACCCGCGTGACCAGCGACCGAGTCAAGATCTAGCACCTTCTCGTTTCTGCCGTCAAGGCCTCTCAATCATGTTACAGACTGCGAAGGCAATCGATATCTTTGGGCTCGATTAGATTGCTTGACCCCTCGAAACCCGCGAACCTTCGACGGCGGGGCGAGGGAAGACGTGCACGGGGGAGGATTCCTTTGAAAAGTCCAATGAGGATTCTAGGGAGAATCCGGCTTCTAGGAAGCGGCGACCAAACGAGGGCGAGAGGGGGGAGAGATGGGGAGAGAGACGTCTTCAAGGATAGGACTCCTGTAGTAACTTATATGATTCCTCAAGAAGCTCATACCAGCTGCCAAGCTTTTTTCATGGCCGATTCAAGGAGACTGAATGTGGAAGGAATCCGGCCTCGACTATCGTACTGATGAGAATCATGCCCTGTAATCCCATTTTTCATGAGTTTCTTCTCCTTCCTCTGCAAATTCGGTTCTTAGGGTTCAGGGCGGTTGGAATAAAAAGTGCACTATCTCAATTCAATTCAATTCACTTTATCTTTATTCAGCATATAGCAGTGGCAAAAGCTGAAATGGAAAAAAACAACATTCATATATTGGGTTAGAAAGAAAGTATTGCAACACTTTCTGAAACTATTTAATCAAATTTACAAAGGAATGATGGGCGGGACTTTGCATTTGTATATACTGGAATGTTCTCGAAGCTTCTGCCCTCGGGGTATATAAGGCGGCTTCTGCCATTAGTTAGCAGCCATGGCTCCGATCGAAAAAGCAACTCTTCGCCCCATCGTTTACTACGAGTTCTTCCAAGGACACTCTGCGAGAGCCGCCGCGGACAACATCTGCGCTGCATTCAAGGGCAACGTCGTTCACTATTCCACTGTGTCTCGATGGTTGAAACGCTTGGAATCTGGCGACACGACCTTCGGAGATCGACCACGCTCAGGACGTCCCATCTACAGTCGATGACGAAGCCCTGCGGTACGCCCTCAACGCGAAGCCGAACGCCACCACTCGCGAATTGGCGACTACACTTGGAGTGACCCATATGGCCATCGGCAAACATCTGAACGACCTCGGCTATCGGAAGGTTTACTCGATATGGGTCCCTCATCGGCTCAGCGACTCTGACAAAGCAAGCCGTGTCGGTGTCTGCGAATCACTGCTCCTTCGTCCGCACAGAAAGGACCTTCTGAAGGAAATCGTTACTGGAGATGAGAGCTGGGTCCTCTACGTCGACCATACTCGCAAGAGTCAGTGGCTTCCACGAGGAGAATTGCCGCCACACGAACCAAAACGAGGGTTGGTTCCACGAGAAGAAGATTCTTCTCTGCTGTTGGTGGAATTCAGAAGGAATGTTGTACTATGAGCTCCTGCCAACCAGTACGACCGTGACTGCCGTCGTCTACGCTGCTCAACTTCAGAAGTTCGCTGGCGTCGTTCAGAAAGACCGTCCCAAACGCTACAACGTTCTCCTTCTGCATGACAACGCTCGTCCACATGTTGCGAAGATGACTCGCCAGACGATTTCGGAACTGGGCTGGGAAGTTTTACCCCATCCAGCGTATCCTCCGGACTTGGCCCCTTCCGACTCTCACTTGTTCCGGGCCGTCGAGAATCACCTGCGGGACAAGGCCTTCGACGATCGAGCACAGCTCGAAAATGATGTCGGCCGTTTCTTCGCTTCGCAATCGCCAGAGTTCTGTGCAAAGGGCATCGAGCAGTTACCCGTGCGTTGGAACATGTCATAGACAAGAATGGTCATTACATTGTAGACTGAAATTGCATTTCAATAAAGTTATAACATTTTGAAAAATTTGCGTAGAGTGTTGCAAGACTTTCTTTCCAACCTAATACATTCATATAGAAACAACGCTTCAAGTATCGAGTTTAATCTGCTGCTATGGGGGTGTATGAGAAGTTCAGATCGTTCCCTTGATTCGAGCGGAGGCAAATCGCCTTGAGCCTGTGATTAAACGCTCGGTGAATGAAGGACGCCAGGTCTTTACTCCTCTCATCTGATATACTACTCAGGTATGCCATCAAGCTCTCATCATCTTTCAGGTCTTCAATATCTTCTTTTTTAGCTCGATCATGAGATATTTCTTTGTTCCATGACATTAATTTAATAGGTGGAGGCTTATAACATATTGGGCAGATGAAATCCTTCCCACAAATGATCAAAAGTGACCAATGAAAAATTGCTAGCAAGAATGCCAACATAATGTCCAGTTTTCTCTCTGTTTTGCGAAGGATGCTCATAAAATGTTCCGAGTCCAGTAAGCCTAGTACCTGTTGGCACGAAGATAATGTCTCCATTGTCTCGCCTCCATTGTATGATATGTTCGGATTGATCTTAGCATAACTGGGAAAAAACAACTTTTCGTTGGGGGACCGAAGTACCAGATAGCTGTACCCGTAATGTTGGAATTCACTCCTAATCATCTTCAACCTGCAATCCTTCCCTTTATGCAGCAAAATTCCTTGTTCTTTTAGCGCCCATGAACTTGGGTAAGCCTCCTCTAACTCGCGTATTCTCATTCAGAATTTAAAATGTCTAGCCACCACCAGCGCTTGCAAAGAGGTTGCATCGGCTGACCAAAGTAACGACGCTCTGGGGTAGCTTTCGGGGAGTTTGAAAAGTAACCGGAGGAACTGGACTAACAGAATGTCGAGTTCCTTCCATGGAACATCTCTAATAATTTCCGACCCGTTTAAGGCCACTGAGGAGATAAGGGTATTGAACATTTCAAGGGCATGACTGGTAAACAGACCGTAAGCCTGCGATACAATCATCCGGGTCATGGCGGTGGCCGTTTTGGTTTTCCCAACGCGATACTTAAAATGTTTCCGCCAAGAACCGTCCATAGAAAAATGCATTCCCAGATATTGAAAACTGTTAGCATTTTATCCCCATGGTAACTCCACACTTCGTATCTCTTCAATTCATTACCCTTTTAAAAACCATATTAATTGACTTGGCGCCATTTACCTCTAGTCTGTTGAGTTTGCTACACTGTACCCTGGTAGCACATAACATTGAATCAAAATTGATTCAACATTGAAATAACATCCGGATGTTGAATCAACATTGAATCTATGTTGTTTCAATGTTATGTGCTAACAGGGTAGTAGGATGTCTAAGCTAATCTGCAGGCCTCTAGGTATTAAATATAATAAAACCAAGTCGTCTGCATATAGGAGGCATGGAATAGGGCGCCCTACCAGACTGGGGAAGAGGAGATCCTCAGTCAACAATATATCTGGGAAGTCATTGATAAACAGGGAGAATACTGCTGGCGAAAGTAGGCAGCCTTGTCTCACCCCTTTTGGCATGGCAATACATGGTGACAAACTGCAGGTGGTCATCTTCGCAGCGAACCGGACATCTGTGTAGATGGCAACCAAGATTCTTAGGATTTGGTGACTGATCCCGATCCTTGCTAATTTTGCCCAAAGAACATTCCTACCAATGGAGTCC